TGATCTCCCCTCGCCTCCATCACGTTTTTTTGCAAAGTAGTGAACCCTCTCTGTCCATGGTGCTGAAGCATGTTTACACATCTCATCACCGTGAGCGGAACCAAACGTCTCCAAAAACATATTTTCATGAACTCAGCTGACATCGTGTCTCGTTGGCATACTTTGGTTTTATGAAGAGGTTTCATGTTGGCTGACGGCGTCTCTGTGAGAGTCACTGCTCTCCCCTGTTGAACTGAAGTCACAATAAGAATGATGCCTGCATTTACATCTCTCATGTCTAAGCTTGTGTTTCATATAAAGAATGGCTGTTGTATATTCTGTGTCACCGCTTTAAAATAAAAACGCATCCTTTCGGTTTCCTGCAAGCACGACTCCAGAGAGCTTCCAGAAAGACTCCACCGCTCTGGACTGAAACATCTCTGCACTACAGATAACCATCAGCTGCAGGTTTGACTCATTTTCAGAGATATTGGAGGAAGACTTTTCCAAGATTAGACACACGTTATGAAGTGAACTCTGCCACCTGATCTGAAAGTTTTATCCTTCAGAACGAACAAACAGAAAAGCTTCCAAATGTTTCGCACGGTAACTTTCCGCCCTGCCAAACCAAACGGGGCTGAACTGATGCTGCGGAGAGAATGTGATCACTTTGAATCCATTCGGCACAGAGATGTCACGCTTTTCATCCACAGGCATCAGGTAACCGCCAACACACACACACCTCCATGCAGCACCCTGATGAGAGTCACAGGGTCCTATGGAAACCCAACGTGTCCTCACAGATACAGGACGGAGCAGGTTGATCGACAATGACTCAAAAAACTCAATATTGAAAAATCAGTGTTGGAGGGAATCAGAGATGTTTACATAGAACACATGGAGAAGTTAATTTACTGAACAGAAACACGTCACTGTGCCGTCATGTCGCTTTCTGAGCTGCAGTTCTGAAACCTCCATCTTATTATTCTAAAGCCAGAAGAGGTGAGCGTATTTGGTTTGATCTCTTGATGTATTTGAGCTCATGTTCCCAGCAGATCTCTTTGAGTAGACGGAACTGAAACAGTATGGCACCTCATTCAGAGCTCATAAAACAACCGCTGACTTTAGACCAGCATAAACAAAACGCTCAAACCACACGACCATTGTTTGCTACCAACAGAAACCACACGTGTATCCCCTACTATGTGAGCAGAAGTCCTGGTCAGTAGTTTTTATGTCGATTCAGCAGCCAACAGCTACTGAGACGGACGTGAAGAAGAGAGCAAAGATGTCAAAATAAACTCCACAAACTCTGAGCTTAATACTCATTGTCTGTAAGAGGACACGAGAAGGAGAGAAACCACATACACTAACATCGTTCTCCTGGTTATGAAAAGCCACGCTGTGTTTAAACCAAATTATGAAGCTATTTGATCTTGACTGGGAGCCAGCTGCTTTTCCAAAAGGTATTAAACCTTTAAAGATAAAGACTCTGTGCTATGACCGACTGAACATCAATCACGTCCAGACTTAGATATGTATAAGGGAGTGAATGTGACGCTGAAAATGTGTGTTTATTGCTTCCTTGCTGAAGGCAATCCATCACGCTTTATAGACCACAAAACGTTTGCATTCTTAAAAGACGTCAGGTTCCTGTCTGTGCCTTTGGCACCCGTTCAATCCTTAAAGCAGCTCTCATAACAATGCAGGCTTCCTTTTCCCCATGATTCCATGTCATGTTTTCTGGTGCATTCTTGGTGTGATGTGTGAGCGTTCATGCAGGAGTCAGGCTGAGTTTGCATCAGTGGTTTCAGTGGGAAACCTCAAGCGGTAAAAACCCTGTTCAGGCTCTTACATACCTGGAGCCTGCCAAGCCAAAGTTTAATTTCTTTACCCTGTTATGAGAGAGTCTGGACGGCTCCACGGTGCTTCGACGATATTTAACAATATACAGGCGGATGAGCTGCCAAATCCACGAGTGGGCTGTTTGGGTTGGCATGAGCCACTCTGCAGGTAGGTCCCAAAAACACAGATCCAGAGTGATCGTGTAAGAGCGCAAGTCTGGAGTTTAAACATGCGAGCCATGAGTTTCTCTTCCTTCCATGTTGTTCTAGCCTAGGTGGACTCCAGCTCCTGGGAGGTAATAAAGATATAAAGATGGTGAAGCTAACATGATAGCCAGAGTAAACTCGCGGCCTGATTTGGAGCTTTCTAAGCCCAAACATCTCCAGTTCGAGTCCTCGACTGGCTGAGAAAAACCTGACTGGGCTAACAGGCTCTCTTCTTTATCAACAACATCCCTACAGGCCAATGAGGACGCTCAGTGGACCTGCTGCTCCTGAGAAACACTCTTTATATTTTGACTAAAATGGGACTTTTAAAAACATGTGAAGTAGGGGAGCAGTTATCAGGTCAACAGGTGTTGCAGCGATGGAAGCGGTCAAGAGAAGTGGTTCAGATAGAAGTGATTGTACCCGACCTAAAAAGCCTCTGCATGTTTCTAATAAGCTCCACGAGCAGAAACGTGCTCAAACTAGGATCAATATTGGAGATGCTTTTGAAAAATGGAGAGAGGTTAGAACACAGAAAGGTTTACAGACCCATGCAGAGCTGGATAAACACTGAAGCTTCAGAGTCCACCACATGGTGACCTGAGTGTGCATCCACTCTAGAGAGGAGGGGGGGGGGGAGACAGCTCTCTATGATGTTTGGACTGCAGTACCCATTTTAAACACTAGGGGGCAGAGCTACATACTGCTCCTTTAAATGGAATTCTTTGTAGTTTCTCCTTATGGTCCTTGCTTTTTCAGTTTTCTGTCTCCACTCCCTTCTGACTGCATGAAAATGCTGAGGACAGAACTTGCAAGTGAAAACTTGTGCTCTTTTGTTTTGGATGTTTAGTAGAAATAATTAATCCTCAAACTCTCATCCAAAGCGGTGCAGACGCTGCTGTGCACAGGTACAACTTCTCACAGTATCTGCACGACATCTTTGGACAATCAGCGGCCAGGTTTAAATGTTAGAAAAGCTTATAGGCTATCGTTTTTCTGTAGTTTTTCTGAATACCCTTTAAATAAGGTTTTAGAAAGCTGATGGTTTTTTCCATTTTCACAAGCTCATCGAGCCTCACATTCATGAAGTTCCACCGGTCGCCTCCAAGACACTTAAGGAAAAAGAAGGTGTGGAGTTGTGACATAATGAACATTAAAAGAGCAGCAGAGGTTCAAATCAGAGAGAACAAAGGGTTAATGCAGAAGAGAAGTGAAGACTCAACTTTAAAGTCTTCCCTGTGAGTGACGGAGGTCCACTTCCCCACAGCTCAGCGTGCGCCTCATGATGACTACTTCTGTGTGACAGTAATGAGCGTGCTCAGTCCGACGGGAGGAAACCGGTGGATTTAAGGCGGCCCGAGACACTTACCCACAAGCCCCCTCATTTCAAAACGACGAGGTCGCATAAGTGGCAACACAGCTCTCCTTAGGCAACGCGTCTGTCTGCCCGAACAGCCTGAACACTTCACTTCAACGTTTTATGACAAACTTCAGCTTCAGGCGAGTAACAGGAGGAGAATTCAACCCCCCGAAGAACGTGTGCTTTCAGACTTGACTATTTCTCTCCTAAAACTGTGCAATCTGTTGAAAACTGGACAATATTTATACATGAACCGTGTAATATCTACGCTTTAATCCATCAGTGTATATTCATGTTTGTAAATATTGTTTATATTTTCAATTACCTGGGCTTAAACATAGCTTATTACTTATACTACTTTATTATTGCTTTCACTTGGCACTTATGCTTATTATATTGTTATACTTTTTTTATTTTATTTTATATTGTGAACTTATCTTTACTTCCTTCTGATTTTTGGTGTTATGAGCAACTGATTCTGATTATTTCAAATATCACGTCTTGAGCACATTTCATTTTCAAACTTGGTTTTTCAGGAAGTTTTGTCTTTTCCATCTTTAGCCTTTTGTTTCATATTTGAGTGATGTGTTTTATTATCTGATTTAAACTTCGACCTGACACACACAAAGTGAAAAACCATTCAGGAAAGTCAGGTTATCATTAGTTAGATTTTGGGGATTTTTTTAAATTGGAAGTTTTCCTCAAAAGTCAAAACACACTGTTAGCGCTGTGGTGAGCACAACAAGTCAACAACGGGGTCTTTGACGTAAAGAAGGTGTTTTTCAGGCTACATCGTAGTGGCCTACCGCCATACTGGGTTATGGCTCGGGTCCATCAGATTTACGGGAGCAATTTGAGATTAACTGTCTTCCCCAAGGACACATGGGACATGTTGCTGCAGGACCTGGAGATTGAACCCTCGACCTTCTGGTTGAGAGACGACCGACTCTACCAACTGAGCATCACCTGAAGGTAGAAACTTGATATTTGGTGCAGAGACTAAAAAAACATGTGGCTACTCGACTCAAACTTCAAATGTTTTGATTTCACATATCAAGAAACGAGGTAAACACTCAGTTTGCTGTGCTAAATGTCGGACTCAGACTGAAGCACATGTTGTAATAAAGGTTATCAATCAAATGAGTATGGTGGCTAGGAAGTCAAAAAACACTTTTACAGAGCTGGAGACAAATTTAGATTTTTACTGAGGTCAAAACAAATCAACATTTTCTGAACAGACTGAGCAGAACTTCTTTAATAGAGGTTATGATATTTTGTCCGTTTAGTGGAACCCACCTGAGACAGGTAACCATTTTTCTTGCCCTGTCGGCATTTGGTACACTCCCTTTTCACCAAGACTCATCAGTGTGTGTGTTCTGCTCGTCAGTGTGTCTCAGAGCTCCTGAAAGGCTTTCTGTTCTTCTAAAATCTTAAAAGTGTTTTCCAAAATGTCAAAATGTCTCAAGCTTTCCTCAGCCGCCGTGAATGATATCTTTGATTGGACTCCAAACAATACTTAAACAATCTGCACAAAGGTCTGACGGGAGTTTGAAGGAAGGACAGACTATCATCATTCTGTTTGAACATTTAGTGAAACAGTCCAAACTGTCTGAATGAAGGATGGTGAAGATCAGAAACCCCTCACCTTTTTTTTTTTTTAAAGATAAAAACCTGCTGAGCATCGAGACGGACAGCTAACGGATCCTTTAAACTTTCACAGATTTTAAATATTCCTTTTTTGTTATATCATTATTTTTATTACTTTCATGCTTTCCATCAGTCATACTTACAAGATTTTATTAACCAAAATAAAACCAGAACATTTAACTTTAAGTTTACACTTTCATTTCGTTTCACATGAGATATTTAACTTTATATCCAAACAGAGAAAACACATAAAATAAAACAAAATATATATAATTCAATTAAATAAGATTTTTAAATATTCCATTACATTTGATTTAGGCTCAGCGTCTACAGTTCACACCATCAGGAGGATCCATTATCAGAACAGAAATTCATTTTCCTGAATGGTGAGGTGATGGTTTACAGGTAGAAACATCCTCTAAACACGACCACGATCACGAGAGCAGACGAGCACATGACTAACGAGAGCTGGTGTGTAAAGTTTCTGCAGACGGGAGTGTGCCTATGTTCCCCCAAAATTAGGCCCTAAGTTTCCACATTTCCTTTTTCATGAATTTGTATCAGTTAGGGTTAGGGTAACTTAGCCTCACCCTACCCTGTGGGACCACAGGGCTGACCCCCTGACCCCCTGACCCCCTGACCCCCTGCAGACTGCAGGAAGAGAGGTGACAACGGAGCACGTTGGTCTCAGCCCCGTTAAACTCTCAGCGGAGCTCCGCTTTACCAGCAGGCAGAACATCCCTGGTCTTAAAGCAAACATCATGTTACAGATACTGAAGACGGGTTTACCTTGATGCTGATGGATCAACATCATCATCGTAGCGAGGAGCCAGAAGTAAGTGAAGTCCATCGTGCTCGCCTCCTCAGAGTCCAGGTGAATCCTCGTGTAAAAATCCACACAGTGGCTCCTTTCTTCACACCAGAGAGAGAGAGAGAGAGAGAGAGAGAGAGAGAGAGAGAGAGAGAGAGAGAGAGAGAGAGAGAGAGAGAGAGAGAGAGAGAGAGAGAGAGAGAGAGAGAGAGAGAGAGAGAGAGAGAGAGAGAGAGAGAGACAGAGAGAGAGAGAGAGACAGAGAGAGAGACAGAGAGACAGAGAGAGAGAGAGAGAGACAGAGACAGAGAGAGAGAGAGAGAGAGAGAGCGAGAGAGAGGAAGAGAGAGACAGAGAGAGAGAGGGAGAGAGAAAGAAAGAGGAAGAGAGAGACAGAGAGAGAGAGCCCTGCAGATGTTTACAACACCTCTCACACCAGAGCTTATAAAAAAAGGTTCCCAGTCCACACTCAGAAAACAGAACTAAGTTCCTCCAGGTTGTAAAAAAAAAGTCCTCTTGATCCAGTCGAGTAAATGTCTGCAGCAAGTTGCCACCCAGGTGCAGAGCGGAGGTGACCCCGTGTCCTGAGGGGGCTCCGGGGCTGTGGACGCTTCCAGACGGAGGAGGGAGGATAGTGTGAGCGGAGCGAGGGGAGCACAGCTGCACCGAGCTGTAGAGTAACAGATGAGGAGAGGTGAAGTGCAGGAGAGGAGAGAGGAGGAGGATACATGGGGCGAGGCTGGCTCTGCTGTGAGACACCTCCACAGCTCCAGCGTCATCAATCACAGCCTCCTCGCGCTTGCTCACCGCGCTCTCCCTCTCGTTGGCTGCATGTCAGTGAGCGTCTCTCGGCTCTGTTTGACTCACACAATCTGTGTTTGGATGTTTTTCTGCCCCTAACCCACAAATAATTATTTCAACCCCGCCAGAACAACAAAAACAAACCGTGTTCAACTACCTTTAGAACGAAGAAGGACTGAGGTAGAAGTGATTCATGCGGTGTCATGGGACCCCTTTGTGTGAGGTTAAAGGTCGTATTTTTATGAATGATGGGGAGTATAAAACAAAAACGTCTCCTTACTTTAACTCTCTGATCCAGGTCTACACTCCCTCCCCCCACTACGCTCTGCCAATGAAAGGCGTCTGATCCAACCTTCACAACAGGGTCCTAAGTCTCTGACTAGACTCTTCTCCTCTGTCGCCCCCCGGTGGTGGAATGAACTTCCAAACTCCATGTGATCTGCAGAGTCCCTCTGCACCTTTAAGAAAAAGCTAAAGACCCAGCTCTTTATGAATACCTACTAACTTAATGATGATGGTCTCCATATTATTGATGATGATGATGGTAATGACGATGGTTTTTGTTTGATAATGACGACTTATAAGATGGTTTCTATACTGATTAGAGCTCTCAAGAACTGCCCTCAATGTTGTGCTTTGCCTCTGGTCACTTCCTGTCAGCACCTGTGTGTCTAATCAGACTCAAAGCTGATCGTTTGCTCTTACTCACATTGTTCCCTTTTTTCTAGATCCTTGCTTGTGTTGTTCTTACTCTCTGATGTACATCGCTTTGGATAAAAGAGTCTGCTCTGTGAATTGTAGAATTGTAGGAAGGGATCATCATATTTTAGGGGAGAAAACTGGCGAAACACTCACAAACTCGCAAAAAGAAAAAAGCCTAAAACAATCCTATGACCAAATAAAACTCTGCAAACCAAGATCCACACAACAACAGATTCATAAATATTCCTACTGTGAAAAGGTGGTCATGTACACACTAAGATTTTTTCCTCATAGTCCACTGCACAGCTCCTACATCGCACCTTTTGTACATTTTGTTTTTTATTTTTTATTTTTATATTTTACATTTTTAAATTCTATTTTATATATTGTAATATCTTCTTATTCTGTATTATTTAAGTTGTTTCTAGTTCTGCTTTATTTCCTTGTTAATTGTTTAGCACCAATACACCAAGTCAAATTCTTTGTATGTGTAAATGTACTTGGCAATAAACCCAGATTCTGATTCTGATTCTGATTCTGATTCTGATTCTGATTCTGATTCTGATTCTGATGTATTCTTAATCTGCATTTCTTAAATTACATCACAAAGCCTAAGGCAGAAAAATACTTTAAAGGGGGATCAGTGTTACAAAGCCTTCTGCTCCTTAAATTCTTTGACTTTTTGAAGTTCATTCTTGTAGCTGTGTGGAGTCTCCTTCAGGACCCTCAGGTGGGGATTGTAGGCTGGAAGTGGGGTCACCTGTTGTTACATTTTATGATGAGTGGAAGGTCATTTCAGGTCATTGGTCACTCTAGGTGTGAATGTGAGTGTAGCTGGTTGTCTGTCTCTATATGTCAGCCCTGTGATTGGCTGGTGAACAGTCCAGGGTCGCGTCCAGGGACGTCAGAATGTCAAAGCCATATTAAAACGAACAAACAGACAGGAAGTAGCTCTGTCATGATCTACTTCCGGGTAGCGAGCTGACGATTAAACGAGCTGCTTAGGGAGGAAACATTTACCGACCGCCATGTGAGACCAGCAGGTCACCCAACTGTGGATCCATACAAGGGGGGGTCTGTGCTGAAGTTAAAGTGTCCCGATTTGAAGGTTTGAGAATATGGTCATCATAAATTAAACTTTTCATTATTTATTGTATTTAATTTTTTTTTGGTTGCTGTGTCATTGAAACAGGGATCAGTATCATTGGATTTGTATTGAAGTTTAAGAATTTGGTATCAAGAGAAACCCTGAAAACGTTTTAAAACAGAACTTGAGATTCTGAGTGCTGCACCATTTATCATGTTAGCCCCAGGTGTTAGTTGTTAGCTTCTTTGGCAGGTCGAGTCGTGAGTCTGTTTTGGATCTATTATGTCGCCTACAGTTTATAAAGAGCGCTCTCCGAGGACCATGATGTGAACTGAAGAGGAAAACGACTCGACCACAAAAAGGTGGACCCCTGTTTCTGTCTTAACTTTGGATGGTTTTCCTGGCCCCGCTCAGGGGAAGCTGTCTCTCTGTCGGCCCGACCGAGGAGAGGCCGCTGCGGTAAACCAGATTCATAAAGGCCTTAACGAGGACAATCCAAACATCTGGGAGGCAGAGATGTTGGCGAGCTCCAGAAAGAGCCTTTGGTTGGGTTTCCCCCAAAATTGCTCCATCAGATCTCGTGAAACGTTCCCCTAAATGAGCTCAGTGTCCTGAGATGTAAATAGCAGGCGTTGTGGCAGAGGAAGTGAGTGTCACCGCGGCGAGAGGAAGAGGGGAAAGAGCAGCTTGTTGGAACATTAACCCGACTCTGGAAAACGGATCGGGAGTTCTTTCACAGATCAAGATTAAGAAGCTGGACGTCATGTCTCTTCAAATCCAACAACCTCAACGTACTGTCCCTGGCTCCTGAAGTAAATTTCCCCATTCAAATCCTCTGCTGACTTTGTAGAAGCTCCTTATATCAAGTGATTGAAGCCTGTAACCATGACAACCAGCCAGTCAATACTAGGGACTGTGAAACATTTTATTCGACCCAAAAATAAACTTTAAAAACGGAGAAAAAGACAAAAGGTACAAGACTGTGAAGATATATATTTCCCAGAGTCAGGGAACTACATATCCCACAATCCATTGCAAAAGGTCCCTCTTCTTCTTCAATGTATTTTAGTCGTTGTTATCGTGTTTATACTGTTGATACATGTGTTGTGACATCTTGTAGTTTGTGTTGTTGAATGTATAAACTACACATTTACTGTTAGCTTACCAACTAGCTAGCCTGCTAACGCCAAGGGGTGGACAGCATTGCCATGGTAACAGCAAGCTCCACCAATCAGAACATGGCTGTGACACTCTATGATCGTGGGTAGTGTAGTTCTTTTGCCAGATATTGTGAATAAATCTAGTTGTTCTTAAAACGAGGTTGATATCAGACAAACCATCGTCTCACACTCAGGTAGCTCGTGGTCAGTCTACCTGTAGATGGTTATGACATCATGGATAATAATCAAATCCACTATGGAGACGATGAACTGTTTCTTTTTACTTCAGGAGTCGCACTGTTGACGTCTATGGGGGTACATTAATACTGAACCATATCTAAAGGTTTAGGATCAGGTCCCCTTTACGGCGCCAGATGTTTCTACAGAAGCCTAGAAAGGACAACCCAACCCCTCTTGGCCTGGAGACGTGTTTCTCCTCACGGGGGTTGGGCCGATTAGTCATCCATACTTACAGCGTCTTACTGGTTACATAATTTGGCGAGTCTTAAAAAATGTGGAGTAAACAAAGGTTGTCATGGAAACGCTGCTGCCTCGTCCAAAATCCCTGCTAGCTGCAGACAGACCTGTGCAAACCATATTATTATTTAATTTAGTGAAAGCAAATCAACAACTGCAAATGTGTGAGTGTGTGTGTGTGTGTGTGTGTGTGTGTGTGTGTGTGTGTGTGTGTGTGTGTGTGTGTGCACGAGTTTCCGCTTGTTATTGAGTCGTCTGTTTCACTTCTCGTCAGGTCTCAGGGCGGGATAATTACAGAGCAGAAAGAAACAACAGCCTGTTGATCCCATAGCCCCGAGATACAGCGCAATTAAAGAAGAGGGGGAGGTGAGATAATGGGGGGAGAGGGGGTAAAAGTGGGAGAAAAGACCGGGAAAGGAGAGAGAGCAAGACGACCCGACGATTTATTAACAAACACACAAATAAATAACTTCAGGGTTCAGATGTCAGAGTCGATTCTGTTGGAAGAGAAACGATCTGAAGCTCAACGAGAACGTCACGTTGTCGACAATCTGAAAGACTACATTGATCAGAACATGATGTTTGGAGACTTTGGAGACTTTGGAGTATTAAATATCCAAAAATCAGCGGGATGACTTCCTCCCTCCGTCTTCAGAACGAGTTGTTAACGTGGAAAAATTGAAGTCTTCACTGGAGCCAGCAGCGGTTTAGACATGAGGTCTTCATGTTTCCCGTTCAAGAAATCAGAGGATTTAGAAAACAAGGAGGCTGGTGGAGCAGTGTGTGTGCACCACCCCCTCCCACTGGCTCCAGGTGAATTCTCCTGATTAT